AAGTACAAATTTTCAAAAACCTACCTATTTTACTTTCCCAGAAACTTTTAACTAAAGCTCCCAAAAAAACACCCTGTATATACAGTGAAATTCATTTAGAAGTAGACATAGGGATTTCCTCTATGTCTATTTTTAAATGACAAAAACTCTTCTGAAGGAAACTAACTTCTTAAAACAAATGAAAATTTTGCTGTCATATTGATTAATTAGAATATTATACGATGTATTCAACTGAAGAAAAAGTTCAAATTGTCAATTGGTAAAAATCCGGCAATAGTGGACACCATAAACAACCCTCACTTTCAACGGAGGATATGAAACTGAATGTTTTAATTTTGTGGAAGAAAATCCCATAAGAAACTTAAGGGAAATAAAAGCAGACTATTTACTGTAGTTTTTATGAAAATCTAGAATGACAATGGAAAATGCGTACGCGTGTTATTTCTGTTGTATATAGGAGTCTTTCAAAAGGACTTTTGTCATTTAAAAGTAGACATAGGAAATCCCTAATCACTTCTGGTACCCGAGACCCCAATCCATTCGCAACTATCCCGACTAATGTGCGTGAAAAGTCTCTAAAAGCCCTTAAGGGCATTCAACGGCCTTCTAGATGTATCTATCAACCTTTACCACCTATTATAAAAAGTGCGTGCGAGACTTGCGGAGGTTCTCTAGAACCTTAAAAGTCTTATACAGTTTTTTTGAGCTTTTAAGTGTTTTCAACGATCACCAAATGGTCTCAAATAGTCTCTTAGAATACCTAAAATGCGTATACAATATTAAAAAGGCTAATTTTAATTGTGAGGACTGAGGGTCGATCCTGGGAAGGATAAATCAATATCACATTCCTCAATTGTAGACATATTTAATTATCCACGTGATAAACAACCGCAAACCTACATTTCATTTATTTATTTACTGTCCCTCTTGTTGTAGGTATTTACCTTACGAATTGGGAAAACTGCAGAAAAACCTAATTCGGAGTAGCCGGCAGAATGCTCGAAACTAATCTAAGGAAATCTCTGCCACAGATGAAAAATTTCTACCTCAGCCCAGATTCGAACACTCGACCTCCGGGTTTGTACCCCAACGTTCTACCACTGAGCTACAAAACCGATTTCGCTATTTGATGGTTGATGCACAGGCTAAAAGACACTACCAAAACGCCGAATTCGCGACTATAATTAATTCTGTCCAAAATTCAGCAAATGGACAAATGGAAATTTATTTGTCATAATGCTTGTTTTCTCTGTTACACAATTTCGTTTAATAAATATCGATTCAATTACAAATAAATATGCTCCGTTTGATAAATTTAGAAATCGAGAGATATTGATCAAGTGCCAGTTGCATATGAGAAATTTCTTAATTAAATTTTCATCTACTTAGTCTGAAAGAGGATGAGAGGTCGCATATTGATTCAGAAATTCTTTAATTAAGTTGTCATGGCTCAATCTGTAACGAGAACGACATGCATAGTTCTACGGCAGCAATGGGGGAGTTAACGGTGGTCCAGAGGAAATCGCTCTCTTGGGGCTTACGGATGTTGGGGTTCGTAGGTATGGACGTGAATCACCAAGGCACGTTCAGCGGAATGCGGGCGATTTTTGGCAGCATTCTAAACGTATCCCTTTTTTTCCTGACCATTGTAGAGATTTTGCACCAGACTAACAGGCTAAGATCACTTCAAGGAATGCTGGAGCCCTTAGCGGGCTGTTACCAGGTTTGTGGAACAATACTTTGGCAGTAATTAGTTCGTTTCATTTTAGTGTATCATCAAGACTTTGTCTTTGGCTATAGCTCGACGTCAACTGCGAGAGCTACTTCTTCAAATCGGAAAGTTTAAAGATACCTCAGCGTTGAGCGTTGAATTACGCAATCGCCTACAGAATATCCAAAACAAGGTTGACAGATTCCTTAAGATATACATCTGTACATTATCCGTGGCGTGCGCAACTTTCATCGTACTTCCGTTGACGGAACAGAGCTTGCCTTTTCCGATCAACAGCTTGGAAATCTTCAAGGGATTTCCACAGTACAAAATTCTGTACGTCTTGGAAAGTTTTACCTTAGTTTTTCTTGCGCTTGTGGTGTTGGGATGGGATGTAATGTTTTACTCCTTTGTCTCTTGCATTTACTGCGAGTTCGAGGTGGTGAAGGATGAATTCAAAAACTTGGAGTGGAACGGGGAAGAGTTTCAGCAAAAGTTTAACGCCGCTATCGACCATCATCAGGTTGTTTTGAGGTAGGCAAAAAGACGCACCAAGACCCGTTAGTTCAAACTCAAAGACCTTTTTGTGCCAATGGTTGTAATGTGCTCGAGATTTACTAATCGTTTGCTTTCAGCTGTCTACCGAATCTTAATTCAATTTGCGAAATGACCTTACTCAACCAGTTCCTAACGATAGCGGGGACGATTTGCGCCTCTTTATTTTTACTACGATCAGAAGGGTGAGTTTGGCCAACTCTGAGTTTCGGTCCTGATTTATCCCACCTTCAGATTAGACATCTCCCACATGCTGCAGCAGCTAACATCATTAGCAGGAATACTATTCCAGTCATACTTGGCATGTTTCGCCGGTAGCTCTCTTTCCGACCAAGTTAGCGGATAACTAATTTAATCAATTGTACCAATATCGAACTGTTTCAGAGCGAATCCGTTGGGATGGTAGTTTACAGCGCACCGTTTTGGATAGATGCTCCAGTTGAGGTGAAGAAAATGATCGTAATGGTCATACAGAGATCCCAAAGGGACGAAGGCCTTGCCATACGAGGAATGGGAAAGGTAGATATGCAACTCTTCACGAAGGTAAATGGTGCTTAATCCATTTTGGCATTTATGAGACCTTGTGCATTTCAGATCGCGAAGCTCGGCGTTTCTTGCCTTAACGCAATGCTTGCACTGGACGCTGGCAAAAAATAATCGTTCTAGAGTCTAGACGCACTTAATTGCCTGCTCGTCACGTTTCTCACTCCACACTGCAACCTAACGTCAAAATATCTTGTTTTACCTTCTCTTCACAATGCAAGTTACTCACAAAGCAAAAACATTGCACCACAGTCCGTTCCTAGCGAATATTATAATATAATAGAGTGCAGTATATAGTAGAATACATAGAAGATTGCAGAAATTGTATAGTAGTGTCACGGGCAATAAAATACTGTGTAATTAACTGTTAATTTATTCGACTATAATTTTGAATTCTGAACAAAAAGCCTAGAGCCTGAATGCTACCGCATAATCGAATTATAAATCTGATCCATGAAGCCTTAAATCTAGAAGCGTAAGGCATGAGGAGGCATGGAGCCTCATTTTTATCTTGATCGAGAACCTTGACGTCGCTAGTCTTCGCGAAATTGTCAGATTCGGTCCTGAAGGCATCTGATTCTCGGTTTCTATAATTCCTCATATTTAGCATCTTCGAGTAAGAAGTCACGGATTCTGCGAACAATCACGAAAAGGTTTCCGAAGAAAACGTGTTCGTTCAATAGCCAAATTATGCATTAAAGCTCACTCGTCTCTCGTAAGAAACCGAGTTTCAATACAATAATTGAAGCATCGTGAACACGTCAGTGGTAGTTTAATCACTTACCTTCCCTTAAAAACTGATCTTCGTGTAATACTGGGTGAGGTATGAGAATCCAGGAGAACGTTAATCTTGAGAACGTATGGATTGGCTCCAATCCCCCATCGTATAGCAAATCCGTTTAGTTCACAAAACCGGCATGGCTATGAATTCATAGTCATTCCGATTCATTTGAAGTAAATGGACTGCCGTAGCGAGAGGGACCGTTTGAAGAAACATTGAGGCAAAATATACGTAATCAAGATTCAAGATGATAGTGTGAGATGCTCACAACTCACCTAGTACTAAAATGCGAAGATCAGCCGAAATTTCTAATTCTTTTCTTTCTGTAGTCACTGTACACACAGATGTTCACTTTCCCCCACTGATAGATACATAAAAAATAGTACACCATGCTTAGAAAAAGAAAAATCCTACCTTTATAAGGCTGCCATTCTGGAATCTGAAATAGAGAAAGAATTACTTCAAAATGCAAAAATAGGCAGTTGATCAAAAGATGAGAGCCTCTCTTTTTTGAGTTAATTAAAAAAAAAACTTACCCTTAGCCTTATTAAATCGGCGTCTACTGGAAACGACCATACAACCGCAAACAGGAATGGAGAGCTGACGGTAACTGAAAGATAAAATGGAGTATATCAAAAAAAGGTCTAATGCCCTATTGGCGATTGATAGATTTCCAAATTGCTCTACGTTAAAGACAGTGGCGTACTAACCTGATTTATTTGTTTCGCCGCATTCAAAGAAATCGGGGGTGCATCTCAGACAGGGTTGGCAAAAATCTGGGATTTTGTATGCTTTGGGTGGGGTTTTGGGTATTTGGGTTGGGTTTTTGTGTTTTTCTTGGGTATTTGGGTAATTTTTGGGTATTTGTCGAATTTCCGGAAGTCTAACCTCAAATTATAGAAAAATAACATTAATTTTGAACTTAGACTGCCCGATAAAGTAGAAAAGCTTGTAAAAATAATAAAAATGAGCCACTTTAAAAAGAGAAAAAGTTGTTTTAGGATTTAATTATTATTTTTATTTTATTTTGTTCCTAATGAATAAGCCGTTTCGTATTTTATATTTTAATGTAATTTTTTTGAAACTAGGAATAAGAATATAAAGACTGATCTATCAGTACCTGTCTGTTTCCAAGTAAACTATATTATATTTTGTTATTAAATACAATATAAAAATTATCTCGATTTTGTCTCATTTTGTGTCTCAAATTCTTAGGACTTTTGTATGGGTTTTTGTATAGGTCGTTGGGTGAGTTTTTTAAATGGGTTTTTCGTTTTGCCAACCCCGATTTCAGAGGCTGGATCTTCATCATTGGAAGTCTTGGGGAAGTCTCTCCTTTGGCGCTGCGAACACACGGAAAGATCAGTAAGTTGGCCGAGTAGGCCGATCATATTTTAAAGAAACATTTGTCGGTGTGCTTTCTTTATCAATCATTTCAGTCTTTATGGCATAAATCGTATCATCAAGGGCAATAAATTAATAAAGAAACACACATATTCTACTTCAATCGCACTTACCTTCCAAACTGATCTTCTGAAATAATAAGTGGGGTACAATAATCTTCGAAGGCATTCAGGTTAGGTACGGAAGAATTGGCTGCAACTTTTTCAGACCATTGTAGGAACAATTGCAGTCAATTCTACGTCACCAAGATGATATGCTGAGAAGATAGTTGCAACTTACTACTACAATTAGAAGATCAGCTAAAAAATAGGATCACAAATCTTCCTTTTAGTCACATTACACTATTCACTCCCCCCCAGCTGAAAATACAAAAGGAAAATGCACCACACCCATGCAAAAAAAAGAAAATCCTACCTTTATAAGGCTGCTGTTCTGGAATCTGAAAGAAAAGAAAAGCAATCGTTAGAAAACACGAAAACGGAAGACAACAAGTCATCAAAGCATGTTTAATTAGAAGTAATTAGCCTATTATGACATAACAAGGGAACACGAGCCGCAACCCTTCATAAGGAAAAGGACCCGAACTTTTATTAGTATGACATAAATCGTCTTAGGATAAGAATCAAGTGTTTAGGTAGATACGTTACAGTGTTTTCACGATCTCCCAGACCCTAAAGGTTGCGTTCCGTTTAGCGGAAAGCCCAACACGTGATAAAAGGCGGGATTTGTATTGGTTACCGCTCATACCACAAAACGTGCGGTCCGTTTGAACTGGTACTCGGCAAGTTACAATTTAAGTAAAAATCTGGTGGGGGACATTGATTCTGACTGAACGGTTCGCGGTGTTTGTAGGATTTGTTGTACTCACAAACGTAGAGATTACCGCCATATGAACAAAATTGTGTAATTTTTTATATAAATAACAAGTACCTTCAGATCAAAGATAGTAGCAATGTGTCGTTTTTCTCATTCATTGTAAAATTTAGAATATTAAGTTGGAAAGGACGAACGGACGGAGGTATTTATTACGGGGTTACACATAAAAAATGAGGTTTTTAACACAATTTTGGACTGACGGCACTTTCCAGTAGGAGGTGAGTTGATCGCATGGACAGATCGATAGACGCCCGGACGGAAATATTTCTTCCTATGATACAACATGGCACAGAAATGAAATGTCTATCACAATTTCAAGTTGATGGCATTGACAGATGGGCGGACGGACGGAAATATCTTTTTCTGTGTTATACCTGACAAAAATGAACTTTTTTTCCGAAATTTCAAGCTAATGACACTTTCTGTAAGAGATTGGGTAAACGCATGGACAGATGGGAGGACGGACGGACGGAAATAATTTTTCCAAGGTTATACCTGACAAAAATAGGTTTATATATCAAATTTCAAGCTTTCCTGTAAGAGGTTGGGTCAAAGCATGGACAGATGGGAGGATAGACGGACGGAAATAATTTATTCTGGGTTATACCTGACAAAAAATAAGTTTTTATTCCAAATTTCAAGCTGATGGTACTTTCCATAAGAGTTTGGATAAAGGCATGGACAGATGGGATGACAGACGGACGGAAATAATTTATTTTGGGTTGTACCTGACAAAAAATAAGTTTTTATTCCAAATTTCAAGCTGATGGCACTTTCCTGTATGAGGTTGGGTTAAAGCAAGGACAGATGGGAGGACAGACGGACCGAAATAAATTTTTCTGGGTTATACCTGATAAAAAATAAGTTTTTGTACCAAATTTCAAGCAGATGGCACTTTCCTGTAAGAGGTTGGGTCAAAGCATGGACAGATGGGAGGACAGACGGACGGAAATAATTTATTCTGGGTTGTACCTGACAAAAAATAAGTTTTTATTCCAAATTTCAAGCTGATGGCACTTTCCTGTAAGAGGTTGGGTAAAGGCATGGACAGATGGGATGACAGACGGACGGAAATAATTTTTTCTGGGTTGTATCTGACAAAAAATAAGTTTTTATTCCAAATTTCAAGCTGATGGTACTTTCCTGTAAGAGGTTGGATAAAGGAATGGACAGATGGTATGACAGACGGACGGAAATAATTTATTTTGGGTTGTACCTGACAAAAAATAAGTTTTTATTCCAAATTTCAAGCTGATGGTACTTTCCTGTAAGAGGTTGGATAAAGGCATGGACAGATGGGATGACAGACGGACGGAAATAATTTATTTTGGGTTGTACCTGACAAAAAGTAAGTTTTTATTCCAAATTTCAAGCTGATGGTACTTTCCTGTAAGAGGTTGGATAAAGGCATCGACAGATGGGATGACAGACGGACGGAAATAATTTATTTTGGGTTGTACCTGACAAAAAATAAGTTTTTATTCCAAATTTCAAGCTGATGGTACTTTCCTGTAAGAGGTTGGATAAAGGCATGGACAGATGGGATGACAGACCGACGGAAATAATTTATTTTGGGTTGTACCTGACAAAAAATAAGTTTTTATTCCAAATTTCAAGCTGATG